TGGTGTTGTTGTGGTTGTTGGTTGTTGGTTGTTGGTTGTCGGTTGTTGGTTGTTGGTTGTTGGCTGTTGTTTGTTGTCTGTTGTTTGTTGTTTGTTGTTTGTTGTCGTTGCTGGTGGTGGCGGTGGTGGTCGTCGTGGCAGTGGTGGTGACAGATTTTGGTGGGGACGGTGGATGTCTTGATGGTGTTGGTGTTGGCGGTGTTGCTGTTGCTGTTGCTGTTGCTGTTGCTGTTGCTGTTGCTGTTGCTGTTGCTGTTGCTGTGTGTTTCTGGGTTAGTTAGTTCGTGTTATTTGGTTAACTTTATTGTTGCCGTTGTCGTTTTCATCGTTTGTTCGTTGTCCTCGTTGATGTCGTTGTGCTTCCTAGAATAATGTTATTATCCTTCATGCTGGTTTTTGTTGCTGTGTTGCTGTTGCTGTTGCTGCTGATGTTTGTTGTTTTTGTTTGTGTGTTTCTTTATTTGTGTGTTTGTGTTTTGGTTTTGTCGTCGGTGTTATCATTGCCATTGTTCTGTTCATCAACTTGTCTTACTATGCTGAACGTTGCGGTTGCTGCTGTTGTTGTGGTGGTGGTGGTGGGGTTACAAGTTTTATGGTTGTTCAGATGGTCGTGATCATTACTATGTCGGCGATGATGATGATGGTGATGATGATGTGATCGTTGTCGCTCGCACGATCACTACCACCATCGCCTGCTATCGTGCCCAGGAAGAGCTTGTGACAGCTGAGGAGATGCCTGTCGGAATGCGGGTATTGGGATGCAGGGCTGGGGCGTCGACAGCGGCGACTTGCTCATCATTCCTGGCACGGACGTACATTGGGGCGATGCTGTGAATACAGCAAGTAAGCTGGGACAGGTCAGGGACTCACTCGTACGCAGCCTTGGTCTTGGTCTGTCGCATCATGCCCGACGCCACCTTGTTCAGGATCTAGCTGACGAAAACAGTATCCTGATCACGCCCAAAGTGAGAGATGCATGTCGTGGTGATGGGAGCCTGATGCAGCTTCAGATGCTCGGCCGATCAGCGCGGCGGGAGGGCTGTGTAGCGTCTTTGGTAGGCCACTGTTTCGAACCGTTGCGTGCTCCACAGACAGACAGACGCTCTCTCACACCCCCTGCATCCCTCAGTCTCTAACAGCCCATCCGGGAAAGTGAAGACGGTCCATGGAGCAAGCCGCGAGTACCTTTGACATCATCCTTTGACACCAAGGATGGAAGCGTTGCAGCTGAGCCTTTCCGGTGTGACCTTCGAGTGCTTCCGGGTTTGCGGCACCTGAAAAGACATCCCAACCCAAGCGCATGCTCGAGCAGTCTGCTTGCTGACCAAACCCCCGGATAAACCCCGAACCCTTGGCAACAAAAAGCAGCTAAACCTTAAAACCCTAAACCCTTTTCCGAGGTGTGCGAGCGTAAACCGCGAATCTTGGAGGAGCGAGTGTGCAAGTCGAAAACCGTCTCACAAGCAAAAACCCTAAACCCGTAGAGACTTAAAGCTCTAAGCCCCAAGCCCCGAAGCCCGAAACCCTAAACCCTAAACCCTAAGACCCTAAACCCTAAACCCCTAAACCCTAAACCCTAAATCCTGAAAAAACCGAAACTCCGAAAACTCTTAACATCAGTTGAGGCCAGACGAGCAGATGCAGGAGGTGCAGGTCTCCCTGCGAAGTGCCGACGTGCAAACCTCAGTGTAAGAGTGCAGTTTGGGGTTTAGGGGTTTAGGGGTTTAGAATGGGTAGTTCTCTAAATTAGGGTCCCTTTTAAGGTCCTTTTTTTATAAGGGTTCCGTACTATTTGGCGGACCCCCAAAAGGGACCCTAATTTGGAGAACTGCCTGAATGCAGTTTGGGGTTCAGGGGTTACGGAAGCGATTTAGAAGCTTGATTATTACTCTGGGACATTGTTTATCTGGTTGTTGTAAGGTTCTTGTAAGATAATGTTGGGGTTGCCATAAGATGATTACCAGGGTACTTTTAAGGATACTACAAATCTCGAAATTCCACAGTGACTCGGCTTCGTGGAAGGGGCATCGGCGCGGAAGCAGCGTCGGCAGCACCACGCGACCCAGACGCAGTGCGCAGCAAGGCCAACCGACGGGTTTCGAAAATTTAAAGTCTGTCAATCTCTTGCCTCCCCTGAACCCTATGCGAACCCCATAAACCCCTAAACCCTAGCCCTGAACTGATTTCATGACTCGTGCATGTGTCCATGTCTGCCGCGTTGGAGTTCAAGACCCCTAGGGGGGGTAACTAGGGGGGAGGGGGCTACAGTAGGGGGCCTTACCTCGAGGGCTCCCTATGATCTGTTGGATTTAAACCCTAAACTCTGCGAGAGGGAAGCCCCAAACCCTATCCCCAACCCCCCCCCCCTCTAGGGTTCATGATCTGTTGCAGGTGCAAAGTCCCAGGGCCATGCTGCGACCGCAACAAGCTGGAACGACCTTGCGACGCTCTCTCCACAGGAGAGCTTTCAGCTGCTACTGTTCTTATTCCTAGTACCGTTCTTACTACTATTATCATTATTAGTGTCATTATTATATTAATTATTACGATGATCATTCGTCGTACTATTGCAATTATGATTATGAGTAAGTTGTTATCATGGTTCATATGAATATTATCTGCGGCTGCACCACGCCGGAATCACTGTGGAATCTGATGTGCCGCTGTGTGGCAGGTACTTCTTGACCGCTTCACCAAAGGCGTGGAAAAGGGTCGCCAGCTGAGGCATGCCGACTTTACCTCAATTTTGCTTTCCGTTGGCGTCTAGGTCGCTCCTGGTGGGACAATGGAAAGGAAGCACCGTGCATGCCAAGAGCTCAACTTGCACGGGATCTGCCGGAGCAGGTGTGAATGACTGCCTACAAGTCAGTTCGGAGAGGTTTCGAGAAAGTGGCTCAGGCCCGAATCCGTGCAGAGCAAGGAGGTCAGAAAGCCAACGGATTCTTGGATAGCACGAAAAGGGAGTGGTGTTGATGGAGCCTGAGAAAAACTAACAGCACGACGTGCTCACAGGAGGAGCCTTCCCGTCGCGGAGGGCATGAAGAAGCACCTCACAGCCCACCTCTGCGCAACTCGGAGACGGATGTGCTGGAAAACAGGCTCTGTCATGACCTTAAACCCTAAACCCGCCTAATTCCGGCAACCTGCAGGTCTGAGGGCAAAGAAGATGCAGAGTGCCCTCCTGAAGCTCCCGGGTGCGATGCCGGGAAGGTGGGCCCTCTTCGCAGAAGATCCGTCCACAGCTTCCATGCAAGTCGTAGAAGTGGAAGTCAGTCTCGCCAGATCTTTTCCTGATCCCTTTGGCTACGGCTCCAGAGTCCAGGATCATGGACACGGCAAATGACAGCATGCAGAACTGCACTGCTACAGTAGCACCTTGCCACGTCTTCGCGTCAAGACTAGGAAAGTAGAAGCCCCCTTGAGGCCCTTGTGAGCGGTTGGATGGGAATGTCATTCGATCAGCAGGGCGATCAGAGTCAGCAACTTGATGAGGGAGCGACTGCCATCATGTTGAGGCGGTTACCATCCAAGTTGACGATCGAGAGCTTGCTGGACATCTTAAGCCAGTTCTGGCCAAGCCGCTACAACTTCGTCTACGTCCCCCATGACAAGTCACGGGCGCGGAATGTGGCCTTGGCCTTCATCAATTTCACGGACAGCGAAACGGCGAGGATGGCATACGACTACTTTCAGGGGCGTAGCAATCCGATGGACGTCCGGCTTGGGAGTCACATTCGTGTTTCCCAGGCAGATGTTCAGGGTCTCAGTCTCAATCTGGCGTACTTCGTCGCCAGGAGTGGGTTTGCCGACATGGATAATCCCCATGCTCCTCGAGTCTTCGAGAATGGTTGGCGGGTCAATCTGTCAGAGACTGTGCAGAAGCACGTGACAATGGAACTGATGGCACAGGCAAGTCAACACATGAAAGCAGTCGAAGATGCCAGAGCAGCCAGAGCGAGAAGAGACCCTCCCAAGCATGACTCGAACCAGCATGACACGAGGAGGAGAGGCGATGTTCCACCACATGTCAATGTGCGAGAGGTTCCGGGCATGCCTTGCTGGCATACAGCCGGAAGGGATGACAGCAGATCACTGGGGCTACTAGGAGCTTGCGAAGGCGGTGGGGCAGATCCCGGCGCCAGCAGCTCTTCGAGCTTTTCGACATCCGGGCAGCGTCAATGTGGGGAAGGGCTTGATGAGCTCTTTCATGCGGGCTTAGCAGAGCAGCAACCAGACGGGTCCGTCTACTTTTTTTTGTAGTTTGGCAGCCGGGGGCTTTCAAGGCAGTGTGTCGGTGCTGCCCTTGGGATGGCCCGAGTTTGTGTCCACCAGTCAATCTAATCAGGATTCCTCTCATTGTTCCTTTTGCTACAGGTTTTGGAGTCCGGGTTCTGCTTTTCGATTTGGACACAAGCTGCACGATGGAGCGGTTCTCGTTTGAACAGTTCAAAGCCCAAATCCGGATCAGTTTTCCTTCAATCCGCTCCCAGTTTTCACTGCTGATGATGCGTCGTGCGAGCGAGTGCCCTGACGATCCAGCACATGGGTAGCTCTCTAAATTAGGGTGGCGTTTACAGTCCTTTCTATAAGGGAACCATATTGGGGACCTAGACACCCGAATTTGGAGAACTACCCACATCGTCTCCGGTATAGGAGAACTTCCAAAATCCCCTGGTCGCACCTTAACATCGTAAGAGTCATAATGTAGGAGCCTTAATCGTTAGAACAGGGTTTTGGAGCCCATTATACCACAACTATAATAAGGAACCCCCAAAGAAGTATAGGTAATTTTGTTTGGCTCCTATATGAATCGTAAATTCATAAACCAGGTCGGAAGTTGCTTCGGTGCGATCACCGAAGCACCGGTGGTAACACACCACCCCAATTCATTGCAGAACTCTTTGTGATGATTTTAAGTACGTTGGCCAGTCAAGGGCTAATTCGGCACACGCTCTAGGACTACTAGGCCGTGCAGCGGATGTGAGTATTGGCACTTACATGGAAAGATATAGGAGTTTGCAATTTACACTTTAACTTGCCATCCGCTTTCCAGCGTCACAGGGCCTCTCGTATGACTGCTCGAACTCAGTCTCTAGTTGCCTTTCCTGGATGGAGGTAGGCCCTGTGACATCATACAAGTTTCTACCCCAGAGACCGACCTCTGGCAGAGTTCGAGTAAAAAGAGCGCAGGCCCGAACATCAGCTGCCAGAGAATCCTAAACCCAAAACCCTCAACCTCGCCCGGCTTGTCCCAGACCAGGCCGAGCCGGCTCCCGCCCCTCCGGAGGCAGAGGCCATCGAAAGGTGGGGCCATCCGCTCATCATGGCTAGAGAATGTGGCAAAATCTGCCCTAAGACGTAAAGACTCCTCCCTTACCTTAACCTCAACCCTTTGTGAATCCAAGAAAGCCCGAGCCCTGCTACACCCCGAAGCGTGAACCAGTTTCCAGATGTTTACAGGTCAGCCGACAAGCGCGGCTACCGACAAGGAGGCCACCAACGCAAGCTTCGCTAGCTCAGCCCCGTCTGCTCAACCCCGGACCCTGAACCCCTAAAGCATGGAGTCTACAGATGACAAAACACCAGACCTTGAACCTCATAATTAGAGACTAAAGAGTTGTTCAACCCCCAAGCCCTGGTGTGAGAGGCTGTGTTGGGCCCACTGCTGCCACGGACAAGGCTTGGAAGGAAACACTGGAAAGAATGATAAGATAGTTTAGTTTCTGCCTTAAACCCTAAACCCTAAACCGTCAGGCTTGTTTCTGCATGAAGGATCAGTTGGTTTTGTCCGCTGAGCTGTGTGGATGACCTGCATACCAGTCTCATAGCTCACCGAAGCGGCCTTTTGATATACACAACAGAGCAAATCAACATTTTATTGATTTACTTCTAATATAAGTAAATCACTAAGTAAATTAGTACATACGTATATACACACACATATAAATATGTAACTTCCATAGACCATATGCTCTAGATCATGTATCAGTAAGTGCGGGTAGATATCATCTACACACGCGTGTACTATAAACCAAATGATGTCATGATATGTATAGCATAAGTTCGAAGTCCTGCCTCTTGCCTATCGGGCTTTGCCAGGCCGAGCGCTTGAAAAGCTTCAAGGAGAATCGGGACTTTTTCAGCCGGAATCTGAAAAAAGAGAAGTGAAGCGTCGGTGCACTCTTGGTTACGAAGCGACCCTAAACCCTAAACCCTGAGGCGTGTGGCGTTTTTCAAATCCTACCTGACAGCCCCGGACATGGTCACATGAACTGATGTCTGTGTTATCCTGTCTTTGAGCTGGACCAGTATCCCTGCAGACCTTGCCAGGCTTGTCCGAGTGTGAGTGTCAAAAAACCCTGAGGCAAGGTTCCACATGCGAGTGTGAGAGTCGAAACCCTGAGCCCCAAACCCTACAGAGCTCTAAACACTTTTTTCCTAACCAGGCTTGTCCCAGGATGTCCCAGGCGTGAGTGCTGAAACCCTTATACTAGTACCCTTGTAGATCCCTGACAGGAGCCCTGATAGTTCCTGTCGACGAACCCCCAAACCCTGAGGCAAACATTCCAACGGCTTTGCCGGCCAGCAGAGCGACTTGAAGAGTCGAGTGTCCAGGCAGGAAAGGGGTCGTTCTCTAAATTAGGGTCCCTTTTTAGGTCCCCAATTTAGTACGGCGCCCTTATAAAAGGGGACCCTAAAAGGGACCCTAATCTAGAGAACTACCCAAAAAGACAGATGCCAAAGCCGCTCCTCCCACCGCCGCCCCCCCCCGCCGTCTGGCTTTCAGAGTTGTTCTGGCTTTCCCCTTCCTTCTTCTTGTTATACTAGATGTTGCATAATTGTATCATATACTTTTGTGTGCTGAATCAGATATATTTGTATATGTTACATGCAATATATCTGTTATGTACTGGTTTTTATACTGTATATTACAGTTTGCGTTTCACGAGATTCATATTTGTGTTTGATTAGAGAGAGATATATATACATATATGTACATATATATATATATATATATACACACGCACACACTCATGAACAGGATCTGACGTTTTTACATCTTGATCTCTCTGCTTGTTTGTGTACCGGTTCACTAGATATTATATAGGAACATTGCAGTTTTTCTTGTTGGCCGCCCTAAAGCCTAAACCCTAAACCCTAAACCGCTGTTCTTCGGGAGGCGTGAGGCTGAGGCGCTTCTACAGCGCCTGACGGCCAGCCCTGCTTTGGGCCAGGACTTGGACGAGGTGAGCTCAGAGGGCGCAGAGGGTTTTAGGGTTGAGGGCTGTAGGGGTTTACGGTGTAGTGGTTAAGGGCTTAGGGGTTTGGGGTTTTAGTTCGTGTACCCTGCACCTGACATTTCTGTACATTTATGTGCGAATGTGCCGAGGTGAGGCGGTTGCGCAAATTGGTCGATGATAGGTCCGCTTAGAATTCATAGCTGCACCTTCATAGACCCCTGTGGCGACAGGCGCCCATAAAGTGGGCGCAGTCGAGCATGTGGATCTGCCGAGAAGAAACTAGCTAAGTGCAGATGAGCGGCTGCCCCTTGTCCCAGCTGGACCGTATTGCAGGGAATCCAGTCCAGCGACTTGTTTTCATTGGTACTGATTGGTATCTGCAGGCTGCATTAGCATTTCATGGATCGATCAGCCATTTTGCTCTCTTGTATTCGTTGGCCTCATTAATTATTACACGGTGTTTCATTCCTTGTTGTTTGGGTTCCTCCTTGTTGATTCGATGTGACCGCTGCTCGCCGCATGGCAATGGACTGCTGGCTTCATGCTGCCTCTATAGCCATGTTGCCGCACCCTGCATCGCGAGACTGTCCTCTTTGCCACAATCTGTCCGTTTGCACTTTGACTGCCTACAGTACTTTGTTAATTAAGTAACGATGGCGGCTGCTGTGCATAACGGAATCAACTCTATTTGCTTTGAGACTGCTGAGCAGCCTCGTTGCAGGAGGACGCGTCTGGGCCATCACTCTGGAATCGCCTCACTCAGTGCTCTTGCCTGCCCAAGGAACGTTTCATCATAAGCTTCGCCGGCATTCGTTTGTCCTCGCTGCTGGCAGCACTTGTCAGCAGCCGATTGCTTGGAAATGACAATGTGGTCATCCCATCAAAGCGGCCGAAACCTTGGCAGACCTGTGACAGTCGGTGTCTATGTGTATTTTTCGCAAGTAGTTAGACTTGCATCTGAACTCAGGTGGCCGTCGGAGTAGATATTTCGGATCTTGTGCCTTGCCTGGTTGTGGCCTCTCGCGCAAAGGTCTGTAGCCAGAAGTTCAGAAGACTCTTCTGCACAAGCGACACTTTCATGCATCGTCAGGTTGCATCACTTGAACCGTGTCTTGTGTATGCCCCAGTCACAGTGACGCAGACGCTTGGCTGCAGATAGCTGCAGTTCCATTTGCAACAGGCGCAGCATCATTGCGGAAAGGTGGTGGCAGAGCTTGCTGTTGCGGCTTCATCCGAGGATGCGGATGATTTATTTGGGCTGGTGCGAGTCCTATGTGGGAAGACAAGGCAATTGACAGCACCAGTCGTGTAGCAGTGGTGGTGGATTGTAGTTGGAGGAGCAGTAGCAGGAAGAGTATCGCAGTGTCTTCGTTTTCGTGGTGGTGACGCTGGTGGTGGCGGTGGTGGGGATGGTGGCTGTGGTGGTGGTGGTGGTAGCAAAAGGAGACGATGTAGTCGTCGTCGTCGTCGTCGTCGTCGTCGTCGTCCCTGTGGCAGTAGTCGTCGTTTCTTGGCCGGCGTCGCCGTTGTCGTCGCAGTGTGATGGCATTGGTATTGGTTGTTCCTTTGGTTAGTAGTTAGGAACTAGCTGCTAGCAGCTAGTAGGTAGCAATAAGTACCAAGCAATAAGTAGGAGTACTGGTGGTGGCAGCAGAAGTTGTACAGTAACAGCTGGGGTTGTTGCTGTGATGGGAGTAGGATGAGTATGAGAGGTAGTAGCATCTCGCTGGGGATGCCCAGCGGCCTTTTCCTTTGCTTCTTTCGCTCTTGGAGGTCGTGGATTGCTACTATGCTGCTGCCTTTGCTTTCCTTATGGTCGCTTCCTCTTTTACTCATACCACGATTATTCTCTTGTCTCTTGACTGTTGCGATGGAACATTGCTGTTGAGATGCTTGTGGCCCTGGTCAGTCGAGGTACGCTTGTCATCCAACCAAGACCGGGCTGCTCCTGCCAGCGAAGCAGTGGCTTTTCTCGGATTCGTTCGAGAATCCCGGGCGATGCCCGCCAAGCTTTCTCTT